TGTTTGTAAAAACAGTCTTCATGCCTAGGTGCTTCGTTTTATACACCTGTGGCCATGGAAGTGATTGGAACACCTGGTGCTGATCATTTGGATGAGTGAGCAAATACATTTGGCAAGGTAGTGTAGTTTTTTCCTAGACCTACTTACAGAAACTACATAGCTTTCTCTGCTGTGGAATTAAAATACTACATGATTCTGCATAGTCTTTGTCAATTTGGTCTGCTACCAATTGCAGATGCCAAAAAGGAGGCTGAAAATGATATAGCACTTCAACTTGGATTATGTTTAATGTCAAATTTTTTCACAACATTTACACAATGACAACACGAACAGTGCAAATATGTAAATTTTCGCAAATCTAAACTCAACAGCGCACGTGACGTCATAACGTGCTGTGGTTGCAGGCATCCTTGTCATTGGGTTGTCACAAAACCATCGCCTTTATATTTAATTTCTATTGTGGTTCTGTTCCTTTGTTCTTTATTGATTTGGAGACTTGTTCTTATAGCGGTTTGTCAGATGAATTAAAGATAAACTACTTTCTGGAGTTTCTTAAAACTTGCGGAGGGATGTAGAAATAACACATTTAACTTGGAATGAGCATTTATCAAATTAACAATTAACTATCACTTGATTTTTTTTTTTTAAATTGCAAATTGTTTTGTTTGTGACATTGTGCCATAAAATTATACAGGCCTGAAAATGTTGATGTTACAAACTTATAAAGCTGGATGAAGCCACAGTATGTGACCTAACTGACATTAGTGCATGGATTTTTCCTTCACTGCACCCTGTGTACATGGAGAAAACCATCTTTAGTAGTTGGATGCATCCTACAATGCCTTAACAATGCATGTGCAGCCTTCTTGATGTATTTTGCAACAGTGCTGGTTGGCTTCAGCTCAGATCTCAGGTGAGGAAAGGCCTGGAATCACTCATCCTGACAGCCACATCTGGCGCTACTTTCTCTGTCCTGTTGCCCTCAGCTCTGCTCCTGCAAACAGACACCACTCTGATTTAACCACAGAGGGAAGGAGTTACGATAATAGCGGTTATGATAATAACATTATTGTTGGTTATTAATGAGATGGAGAACAGACAGTTTCTTCTAGAGAAGAATGCTTGTGAACAGTGGTTTGTGCACCACTGTTCCTGCTGGCTATTGTTACTGTTGGCATTTTTTTTTTTCTTCTTCGTTGGATTTTGTCCTACTGATAGCTGATTAATGCCAGGTGCAACAAACATACATTGGTCTCTTGTTTTACTTTGTATGGTTTACATAACCAGTGCTCAATAGGAAGTAAAATCTTGCAGTAAATGCTGAAAAACGGAGCTCACAAATGATCTTTATTACTGTAATTGTTTAGAATTCAAATGTTGTTGTTTTTTTTCTATTTTAAGATCATCATTTGTTAGTTTTTGTTTGAGTACCCGAGTACTGAAGACCATATGCTCTAGAAATTTTACATTGATCCAGAAAAATAACCTCAAATGCACCTGAGCCTTTTCTGTTTTTGTTTTTAATCTGTATTTAAAGAATTTGCTATTTGGCATGCTCAGTTTATGACTTTTATTTTTTTTTAAACAGGAACTAAATTAATCCAGTCTTCATGTGGTTCCTGTTGAACCTAGGAAGTGAGGGTCGCAGTTCGGGGTAATATTTACTTTAATGGAATGACTCCAAACAGATTACATTTCAAAACAAAAGCCGCAGGTATCCAAGAGAAGCTTGCAGTCACACCTTGAAATATAAACACATACTTTTGGCCCTCTCGCATATGTCAACGTCTGTGGTGGGCCTTTATCGTTTCCTGTATGGGGTGTGGGAAGCGTGGGGGGATCCTTTCTGATGGAGACAGCAGACATTAAAATGAGCGAGCAGTCAGCTGCAGAGCCTAACCGTCCAGAGTTGGATGCTTTGCGGGGCACAGCACCGCAGGTGTCCATGATGGGAAAATCAGCCCCTCTGGAGTCTGACAGCATGGTGCTGCAAGCAGAAACTCTGCTGCCGTTTGCAAAAGGACTCGCATATACATGCAAAAACTTCCGTACTTTGTGAAGAACTGATTTTTTGATGAAGCTGAAGTACAGCTTACAGTTTGCAAAGATAGCTCAGGACAGAAAATCTCTGTCCCAAGTAGGGATGCACGATATTATCGGCATGGTATTGGTATCGGCCGATATTAGCGATAAAGTTAAATATCGGACATTCCATCAAAAAGAACTCACCGATATAAAAAGCTTCTGTTTTATGTTATATTTTAATTTAAGAAACTGTGAAGAATATCTATTAATGCACTACTACTTATGCACTTTTCACTTGTCGCTTGTGGATAGGTTGAGTTTAGATTTGTGAAAATTTACAAATTTTCATTGTTCGAGTGTTGTTATTGTCTTAGAGAGAGTAAATGTCATGAATAAATTTGACATTAAACATAATCCAAGTTGAAGTGTTGCATCATTTTCAGCCCTATTTATGGCATCTGCATTTGGTAGCAGGCCAAATTGCCAAAGACCATGCAGAATAATGTATTATTTTAACTCCACAACAGAGAAAGCAATGTAGTCTCAGTAAGTAGGTCTAGGAAAAAAAATATCAGTATTGGTATCGGTTATTGGCCAAACAAGTTTTAACATATCGGATATCAGCCAAAAATCCAATATCGTGGATCCCTAGCCCCAAGCATTGTTTAGAGTTACCATTCTGTTTCAGAACCGAGTATGTGCATAATTTTATAAAACATTTGAGGTTTAGAAGCAAAGAACTACGACAGAGCTTTAGGGGCCATGCTAAGAAAAAAAATTAAAGCCATAATATTATGAGAATAAAGTCGAATAAAGTCTTAATATTACAAGAATAAAGTCATACGAGACATTTTTTTTTGCATCTCTCGTGTTTTTTTTTTTCTCAAATTGAATCCACAACGCAACCTGTCAATCAATCCAGTAGGCATGTCAGCAAATGACCAATCCGAAGCTAAATGAGTCGTAATATTATCCGAACTGTGACACAATAAAGCAGGGTTTACTGCATTTTAACTGTGGTAAAGTGAAGAATGTTGAGCATCTTGTTAAGTTATACTTTGGTATTGGTTTTACAAATAAGGTGATACTTAATCTGTTAGCACATCAGCATCAGATTATTATCAGTATCAGGACTTTGAACCTGCTTACAGTAAGGTGGTACGCTCTGATGGGCTGCAGCGCAGCTCTGCAGGTAAGAGCATTTAGCTTTGGATTGGTCATTTGCTGACACACTTACTGGATTGATAGACAGGTCGCATCGTGGCTCCGACTCGTGGGGAAAAAAAAAACACGAGAGCTAAAAAAAAAAATGTCTCGTACGACATTATTCTCGTAATACTAGGACTTTATTCTCGTAATTTTATGGCTTTTAATGTATTTATTTTTAGAGTGGCTCTAAAGCTCCGTCGTAAAGAACTGACCATCCTCAACACTCCAGATAAAATTAGGCTAGCCAATTGTTTTTAGTCCTATAAGAACTCACACACTTGCTTCTTTAGGTGCAAATGTATTTATTTATTTTTTTTTCCCAAAGAGGATTTTATGATAAATTGATATTTGAGCAATTCAGGTATAGTGGAATGGATTCACCCTCACCAGCTTGGTCTCGGTTTGCTTTTTTGAAGCTTCTGTCAACGTCACAAAGTGCTGTTGACTCAGTCGAGAGGCTGCTGAATGATGACGAGGGCTGCTACAACAGCAGCATGGCCGTCATGCTGAGAAGGAAACATGAGACGGAACAGGATGGAGTTAGCTGGTCAGCTTAACCGTCAACTTCAAATGCAGCTTCATTTATCTGCTAAAGTGAACATTAAACAAAGTACTATACTTACTTCATTCATTTGATTGCTTTACTTCTGCTCGAATAAAATTATAGTATAAGAAACATCTCATTGTTCAGCATTGTTTTCATACTAGTCACATAAATGTGGGAGAAATCACCCATTTATTTTCTTTTATTTTAAATACCTGGTCTGGTCAACTTTTAAGAATTTTTTTTTTGCTTTCTAAATTCTCATTGTTTCTAAAATTTTAAGTCAAAATGAATATCAGTAATTTTTTTGGATATTAAAAATAAAACTAATACCTGACTGACTAAAAAACAACAAAAAATAACTTGTCTTTTTGGGGTTTTTTTCTGCAGGTTTATGAGTATAAATTTAGAGTCGTACTTGTAACGATGTGTTCAAAATAAGTTCAACAATACAACATAATGTTTTCTCCAAGATGAATGCATTTAGTTGTCAAAATTTAATTTAATTTAAAATCATTTAGAAACAGAATTTTTTTTCTGGCCAAATAGAAATCTGCATATTTCATTCTCTGACTACAAATACTGTAATTACTTTGATTGTTATTATGCAAACAAATTTTTAGTATCACTGTAAATACATTTACATAAAACTTTATTTAAAGTATTTTATGGGAAGAATCAGCACTTTTTAGCTCTATCGTTTTTAAAAACAGTAAAAAAAGACATTTTTAAAACAGTCTTTTTAAAGCTTTTCTGATTTGATTTATTTTCTTTTAACAGTGACAGGCCCAGCATCACCTTCCCAAAAGCGCACAGACAGTGACGCAAAATTAAAATGATTTATTGACCGAGTGAGTGATGATCCAGATTTTTTCATATATTACAGTGTACTTCTACTTTGCCCTTGACAGTTATACTTTTAAGATAAAAATGTAAAAAAAAAAAAAGAATTTAATAATACGCTTGGGAATAGTAGTAGCATTTTTTTTCCATCTGCCATTCACCCCCCTCCCCCCCAAAATAAATACATTTAAAAAACATTTTGCTATTATTTACACAGCTGTAGTTTTATAAAAAAGGGACCATAAATTTGGCTGTGTAGTCGATACGTCAATACAAGAATAATTGTTTCCATGAGACTCACGTGGTTTCTATCATGCTCATGTGCTCATATGATTCCAAAAGAATCAAAGTTACAACTACTTTGTGGGATTTCTCCCAGCCAGGTCTTTAGACAAACTGTACAACTTTGCCGACTGCGCTGGTCTCCACCTGATCCTGGGTCTCAACGCGCTGCACAGGAACCCTGATAACTCCTGGAACACCTCCTCCACCCTGAGCCTCCTGAAGTACGGAGCTGGCAAGAAGTACAACATCTCCTGGGAGCTGGGCAACGGTCAGTCCAGCATCATACCACATGCTGCCCTGTCAATAGTTATTTATTAGGCTACACTTTGTAGGGAAACAGTTTGTTTTTTTAATGTGCTCTTTCTCTCAGACTGAACTTCGGGTATGTTTTACCAACTCTGACATACAGCTTTCATATATGTTGGATTAAGGCTTTGTCAGTTGCTTCTGCCTCTTGATGTAATCCCAGACTGACCTTACTGATGTTAAAATCTGGGCTCTCTGGGAGTCAAACCATCTGTTGCCGACTATTTGGTCTTCTGGTTGCTGAGAATAGTTCCAGGAGTTCAGGTTTTATGTTTGGGGTCCCTGTCATGAAGCAGAATGAATGAGGGTCAAAAGCCTCCTGATGGTATGGTGAGCTAGATAAAAATCTGAAGACCTAAAGTTGTGCTATCAACCTATAAATAAGGAGAAAAAGAGTCAGCCATGACATATGTTTGGAAACTATGTTAAGATAAACCCATATTTAAATGGTACTCTAACTGAAGGACAATTAAATTAGAGAAATTGCATTTCCTGCAAAAATGCAGTGTGAATGCGTATGGCTGCGTAACGAAGTTGCTGAAAAACAGCTGAAATTAGCTAAAAATATGCTGAATTTTATCTGAAAATGAAGAACAAGCCTAAATTAGCAGAAGAAAGCAGAAAAAAACTCATATTTGCTGATTTCGGTTTAGATGAGCAGAAATAATGAGCACAAATATTCTGAAATTGGCTAAAAAAAAATAAAGGAAATTTGCAAAAAGTAGCTGAAAAGGCATCAAAAAGCTTAAATTACCAGAAGGAAGTGGAACGAGCTTAAGTTAGCTAAAAAATGTAGAATTAGCTGAAAAAGCTAAAAAATAGCATAAATGGGGCTAAATATTAGCTGAAATAAGTTAAACTAGCAGACATAAGCTGAAAGGAACATAACAAGCTGAAATTAGTAGAAAAAAGTTAATTAAACTGAAATGAGCAGAATTTACCACAAAAAAAACTTGAATTTATCTGAAAGCAGCTGAAACTAGCTAAAAATGCTAAAAAGGTAACTGAAAAGATAGAAGAAGCTTAAATTAGCAGAAGCAGAAAGAACACATGTTTGCCCAGTAAGGATTAAAGAAGCAGAATTGAGCACAAAAAAGTGAAAATATCTGAAAAATGCTGAAATTATCATCATCACAGAGCAGTATTAAAGTTTCTTCTCTAAAATCAAATGACCGCATTGTCCTAACTGAACTGCTGAGACACTAAACTATGACCATGATTATTTTAGTTTAAATGTTAACATTATGGTTCATTCAGACACGTATTTTGAAGCCTGCCAGCATTTTGCAAATCCATTGATCTGGACATTTAGAGACTTTTAGTTAGTGCATAAACTTCGGCGAAAGCAGCAAGAAATTCTAAAGCAGTGCAGATGCAGAGTAAATCTAAAGAGGTTGGATGAATGATAAAGAACGCCCTTCTGAACGATTAAGCAGCGGTAGGTCTGCAAAAGTTTAGTTTCTCCTTTAAGTGCTCTTTTTTTTTTATTGAATCTTCAAGGTCACGCTGTGTGCTTGAACCATTCCCCTGACACCGAGTTCATCTGTCTGTATTACTGTCCAGTTATCCCCTTTTATACTATCTGTTGGTTACTTTCTAATATAGCAAGTTTTGACTACAATAACCATATTTATTGCCCACTCCTCACTTTTGCTGTTCTAATCTTTGCCTTTCTCTTTGTCTTGCATCCCCTCATACCAGAGCCAAACGCCTACCGCGGCATGGCGGGTCGTTCAGTGAACAGCACCCAGTTGGCTCAGGACTACACCAAACTGAGAAGCCTCCTGCAGTCTGTGCGCTACTACCACAGAGCTCACCTCTTTGGCCCCAATGCAGGACGGCCCCGGAAGAATGCGATCCTGCTGCTGGATGGGTGAGTACAACAACGAAACGGAACAATTCCACTCCTTGTTCGGTTATCCTATGGAAGAAAAGAGAAAGGTGGGACATAGTGGAAAGTTTGCTGCAGCAGTTGGAGACTTTATAGAGATTTCCTCGTTTTATTTCGCACACGTACACACACACGGAGCAGTGGAGCTCAGTGTTTATGACTTTCCACTCTGTGGGGTTTAGTGTCTTAGCTCCATTTTTACCATGTCAGCCTAAATAAAGTAAATAAAGTGTCAGCTGATGGATGACGTGGCGGCGCAATATCCCACCTGCTGGTTTCAGCCAGAAGCTGCATCAGCTTCGCTTTAACTCTCGTTGCTTATTTAAAAGCAACTGCAGCCTGAGACACGAGGTCATAAAGCCACTTATCACACGTTCAAAGAAACAAAGCAAGCACAAGTCACACATGGGATGTGTTAATCTGGTTTACATTTTATATCAAATTCTTGATCATCCGCTTAACAACCAGACTTTCAGTTTGGTCAGATTAAAATCTGTAACTGTCTAGAAGAGTCAGTTTTAAACTTTGTAATTAGAAGATTCTGCAGAGACAAACACTGACCTCACATCACATTATGGCCATACATCATTTCAGTTGTTTTTATGCACTGAAAACTGCCTTCAGTTACATTCAAAAAGAATAAAATAGAAGACAAATAATAAGCAACACAGTCAAAAAAAGATGTCTGCAATTGTAATTAGCTTGAAAAAAAATATGTTTTAAAGTCTTTCAGAATACATTTTAATATTACTTTTAGACTGTAATTAGACTCATTTAAGAGAAAAATTAAAACGATCAGTTCATCAAAAGACAGTTCAAAAACAAATTTGTCCCATTTGCAACTTTATGAGCATTAAGTGTTTCTGAATTCTGTGAAGGTAATTAAACAGATATAGATGGAGAAAAAAAAAAGATTTTAAACACTGTACTGTCTTATACACTGTGTTTATATTTTACAAAACACTATCACCAAGTAATATGTAAATATAAAAAATTATATATGTTGTTTTCTTATTTTATTTAAGAAAAAACGGGTCATGTCATGAATAAATCTGAAAAATTGAGAACAACTCTGAGATTCAATTTCCAGAACAAAAGTTGGAATCACAGAGAAATTAATGAAGTTACTAAAATTGAAAAACTTGGTCGGTGTTGAACATAAACGTGAAGTTTTAAGTCTAAAATCGGGATTTGTTGCATTTGTCTAACAACTTCACTGAGCATCAAAGCTGGACTTGAAATATTTTGTGTCCATCTCAGTGTGATTTGTAAGAAGACGTTTGTTTCCAAGCCAACAAGCATTTAGTAAGAGCACCATTAAGGTTGATAAACAAAAGGTGAAGCTTCATAGCTTAAAGGTGTGAGGTAGAGATGACAGTGCGACCAGCCAGCTGATTTAAAATCTGGGATTTTTGTCCCATTTGACATGAAGCTCTCCATGTCAACCCTGCTAAGAAAAACCCCACTCCTCCTGATTCTTCAGTGCCAGCTTCATAAAAGGCTCAGGTTCTTGCAGGACAGTGGCATCTTGACTGACGGTTCATTTACAACGTATTGTTTGTGTGGCTTTTTCAGCTAAACACACACAGTTTGGATACAGTCTCTTTAAGGCACTAAAACACATTACACACAGGTGCTGGTCATAAAATTAGAATATCATGAAAAAGTTGATTTATTTCAGTAATTCCATAAAAGTGAAACTTGTATATTATATTCATTCATTACACACAGACTGATATATTGCAAATGTTTATTTATTTTAATGTTGATTATTATAACTGACAACTAATGAAAACTCCAAATTCAGTATCTCAGAAAATTAGAATATTGTGAAAAGGTTCAATATTGAAGACACTTGGTGCCACGGTCCAGTTTATTAACTCAAAACACATGCAAAGGCCTTTAAACTGTCTCTCAGTCTAGTTCTGTAGGCTACACGATCATGGGGAAGACTGCTGACTTGACGGTTGTCCAAAATACGACCGTTGACACCTTGCACAAGGAGGACAAGATAAAAAAGGTCATTGCTAAAGAGGCTGGCTGTTCATAGAGCTCTGTTTCCAAGCACATTAATTGAGAGGCGAAGGGAAGGAAATGATGTGGTAGGAAAAAAGTGTACAAGCAATAGGGATAACTGCACCCTGGAGAGGATTGTGAAACAAAACCCATTCCAAAATGTGGGGAGGATGCACAAAGAGTGGACTGCAGCTGGAGTCAGTGCTTCAAGAACCACCATGCTCAGACGTATGCAAGACGAGGGTTTCAACTGTCACATTCTTTGTGTCAAGCCACTCTTGAACAAGAGACTGTGTCAGAAGCATCTCGCCTGGGACTGCTGCTGAGTGGTCCAAAGTTATGTTCTCTGATGAAAGTAAATTGTGCATTTCATTTGGAAATCAAGGTCCCAGAGTCTGGAGGAAGAGACGAGAGGCACAGAATCCATGTTGCTTGAGATCCAGTGTCAAGTTTCCACAGTCAATGATGGTTTGGGGTGCATTTCATCTGCTGGTGTTGATCCACTGTGTTTTTCTGACGTCCAAGGTCAACACAGCCGTCTACCAGGAAGTTTTAGAGCACTTCATGCTTTCTGCTGCTGACCAACTTTATGGAGATACAAATTTCATTTTCCAACAGGACTTGGCACCTGCACACAGAGCCAAAGCTACCAGTATCTGTTTGAAGGACCATGATATCCCTGTTCTTAACTGACCAGCAAACTTGCCTGACCTTAATCCCATAGAAAATCTTGTCAAGAGGAAGATGTGATACACCAGCCCCAACAATTCAGAAGAGCTGAAGGCCACTATCAGAGCAACCTGGGCTCTCATAACACCTGAGCACTAGTGTCAGACTGATCGACTCCGTGCCACGCCACATTGCTGCAGTAATCCAGGCAAAAGGAGCCCCAACTAAGTATTGAGTGCTGTACATGCTCATACTTTTCATGTTCATACTTTTCAGTTGGCTAGCATTTCTAAAAAATCATCTTTTTTTATTGGTTTTAAGTAATATTCTAATTTTCTGAGATACTGAATTTGGGGTTTTCATTAGTTGTCAGTTATAATCATCAACATTAAAAGAAAAAAACATTTGAAATATTTCAGTCTGTGTGTAATGAATGAATATAATATAAAAGTGTCACTTTTTGAATGGAATTAGAGTCAGAGTTTCTTTATTGTCATTCGCACCTCGTGGTACATGTGGTGGAGCGAAAATATGTACACAGGATCCCATTTACATCCAACAATAAAATGTAAAAGAAAAACAATGATAACATCTAAGATATGAACTAAGAAAAGCATCAACTAAAAATACAATAAGCACTAATAGCATAAAAACATTATGTCGAACAACATTACTGAAATAAATAAACTTTTTCATGATATTCTAATTTTAGGTCCAGCACGTGTATATGTTTATTTATAGAGCAGTGCTGCTTTGATTTAAGTGATTTGACTTGCTTTTTTTTTTTTAAATGTTGTTTTTATTTTAGAGATTATAAATTTAACTGAATTTACCCTTGTACCAAAAGCAGCTGGTCCATATTCTACAAGTCTATGACAAGCAATAAAGATCATCTCATAAACCAAATATATTTAGAAGTAATAGAGATGTTAAAAGCAGTACTCTTTTCAAACAAAATAATAAAGTCAGCTAGTTTACCTAAATTACTGAGCTTTCTTAGACACAGCCATGTGCAATACATCCTGTGTTTTTTAGATTTCCATAAAGAGTAGTTTAAAAAATATCAGACTAATAGCTTTATATGGGTCTGCATTTGCAATTTATTTGAGTTCTTCATAAGAATGTAACCACTAGTGGCTGTACCATCAATAAAAGTATGTTTGCACTGTACTGTTCAGATAGATTAATGAGCAGCAGTTTAATGGGTTGGGGCTGATGGAAAAGATACATAATGAGTGGGTGAAAAGTGGAGAGCTGGAGTTTCTGTGGGTCACCAGTCTCGTATTTAACAAGCGACAATTCTTGTATGTTTGACACAGTTACGATGGGGGTGGCTTTTGTGTTTGACAACTGTAGCACTTTGCTGCACTAAGACAAGAATTTTTTTTTAAAAATTGATGCTGAATGGTCCAAATATCAGAGCTTCAAGACTAAACAATGCATCGCAGTGAAGGTTATTTTCTGTGTGTGTGGCATCATATTTAAAGATGCATTTTGAAGCATGTCTAATATGCAGTTTGCTCCAAATATGGAACGATTTGGGTCAGGTAGAACACACATACACGGATGAGAGAGAAGAAGAAAAAAAAAAAAGCCAATGTTTTTGGAGCTTTATTCATGTCAGGATGAGTTTTTCTTAAAAGATGTTGGCACAGTTCTCAACATTTCTTTTCTTTCTTTCTTTTTTTAAAAGTAAAACATCTTCTTTCGGCTTTTCCCTCAACAAGTCATCCTCTTCCATCTCTGTCTTCTGCATCCTTTGTCCTCCAACTACCTCCATGTCCTCTCTAACTTCATCCATATATCTCCTCTTTGTCTTTTTCCTGGCTGCTGCATTTCTAACATCCTTTGACCAATATACCCACTGTCCATCCTCTGGACATGCCCAAACCGTCTCAGACTCTCTAACTTTATCTCCCAGTTGTTCAACCTGTGCTGTGCCTCTGAGGATCTCATTCCTAATCTTATCCATCCTTGTCAAAAAAGGCCAAATAAAAGCAACCTTCAAAAAAAAAAGGCTTGAAAATCATTTGTGGATGATCAACATTGCTCTCTTAGATTAGGATGCTTTTTTTTTTTTTTTTAGAAGAAAGTTGTATTTAATCGCGATAAACATGTTTTGTTTCAGAGAGAAGGGGATTTTCTTTACACTAACAGATTTTATGATCCAACTAAAACAAACTTGAGTGTTATGTATCAACATCTACAACTGGAACATGGGGTTCAGATTTTTATGCTGAATGAAAGATACAATTTTAGGTAAATAAACTATTTCCATTTCTTTCTGATTTTTTATTTTTTTTTTAGGTTCATGAAGAACGCTGGCTCTGTTGTTGATGCTGTTACGTGGCAACAGTAGGTATTTTACCCTTTTTTTCCTAATTTTATTAACTTGCTTGTGTAAAAACCCTGAACTCGTTTTTTTTTTTAGGTGTGAACGATGTTCTTGACTAAATCAGTCCCAATGAATAGTTTCTTTGCTCTTATCGCCGCGCAGCGTCTTAAGTAGCCAGTATAAACTATCACCAGTGCTGCTGAGAAAACCTGATGCAAAACGTAAAGAACTGTGTTTATTTTGCAAATGGAAAAACAGGAAAAGAAGCCCGAGTGTGTCTTAAATGAGTACCACCTGCCATTTGTCTGTTGCACATACTTTAGGAATGCATGCAGATCTATCAGAGTTTTGATCTTTCCCCCTAACGTCTATCTGTATCTATTTATGCACATGTGTAAAAAGAAGACAAACTCGCTGCAAGCTCTCGGACAAACCAAGTGTGACTGTGAGCGGTCATTAGGGTGAAGGTCAGGTCTAATTGGGAGAAATTGGAAGAAACGGAAGGTGGAAGGGCTGTCAGTAAGACTTGGAAAAACACCACCCACACTGTTAAAATCAAACCATATGCTCTGGCTCATTCCCTCTGTCAATTAGCCCGTTTTACACTCAAGGTCCAGATTCCAGTCTAACCAGGCTGCGTGACAGAAACTCTGACCTCTTTAAAAGAATCCAACCCAACAAAAGTGGAGCACGCTCATTAACATGTCTACAGCTCAGGTCTTACTTCACTGCAGCTGTCTGAAGTTGGTTTTAATCACATGTAGTAGGCAAGAACCGCAGCCCGTATGATGTGCAGTGTTAGGGAATGGCATGGATTTGTTCATCCAAGTCTGTCAGAGATGGACGGTGGGAGTTCTAGTTAATTCTGTCTGTAAAATGGGATATTTGCATGTCTGTAGAACACAAAACATTTGTGTAGTTTCCACTTTTTACGTTTGTTTATAACATTGTAGATGTAGCATCCTGTCTTGGGTAGTTTATTTTTTTTCAATCATCAGTAACACTTGTATAGAATATTTAGTCATGCTCAGGCAGCACGGTGGCTCAGTTGGTAGAGTTGTTGCCTATCAGCGAAAAGGGCGCCGGTTCAAATCCTAGCTGGGGACCTTTCTGGGTGGAGTTTGTCTGTTCTCTCTGTGCATGCATTGGTTTTCTCCGGGTACTCCAGTTTCCTCCCACAGACCAAGAACATGCATATTGGGCTATTGGTAACTCTAAATTGTCCCTAGGTGTGAGTGAGAGAGTGAATGGTTGTTTGTCTCTTGTGTCCCTGTGATGGACTGGAGACATGTCCAGGGTGTACCCCACCTCTCGCTCAGTGATAGCTGGACATGGGCACCAGTGACCCCCGCGACCTGAAAAGGTAAAAGCGAGTAAAAAGATAATGGATGGAAAGATGGTCATTCTCATTTATTTTTTGTTTTGTTTTTTCTTTTGTATTGTTTGTAATGTACTTCTCTGCATTTAGTCCCCTTTCAATTCATAAAACACCTTTTTCCAAACTTGTCTGAATGGTTAGATTATTTTCTTTTAGAACACTAAAACCCTAAATTATATTCACCCTAATTTGATAGCCCAAAGGTTGAAGGTTTCAGTTTTAAAACTGTAAATAAGCTCATGGTATTAATCAGCAAATACAAAGAAGATATTAAAAATGAAATGTCTAGCCATTCACTGAATGAATGCCTATCACTCACTGTCTTTTGTTTTAACCTAAGAAGGTCTTATGCTGAGAAGAGACAGAATTATAGCCGTTTGGTCAAACCTTGTAAATTAAGTTGTATACAAGCTCATGTGAGATCTCTCAACACGTTCTATCTCACAGGGTATGTGTTGAGAATGGCAAAGCCAATTTTACTTCAATATCTGTACCGTAAAAACCAGTTATAGCCCTTATTTGTGTTTTCATTGGCCAGCTGGCTGTGGCAGCCATATTGAATTGGGTTGACTCCAAAAATTTGTCAGATGTAGGTAAATCTAATGATTACCTTCTTAGGGTTTCATTTAAATATTTCCTGTGGTTTACCATGTATTTTGCTTACTTAACAAACACACCATACAGACACAAGCAGAAACATTATCACCCTTTTCGCCTTCAGCAGTGAGCAATAATCAAGGCTTAGGGGCCATGATCTTTGTCTTTAGTCGTCACAGCGGCAAAAAATAGATGCTATAGATCCTCTATATCTCACTCATGCCACATTGTTGCCACAGCAACAGACCTTTAATAGTCAGGTTTTGAATGAGCTGCTTGTATCAAATCAACAAGAACTTTATCAATTTAAAAAAATAACCTTCTAAGTTTAGACTTTTTGTATATTAAATCATTTAAGTGCTAATTTAAATGGTTTACTCTTAGTGCTGATTCCTTGACATCTCCTCCCGAGCTACCATGAGGTTGACATTTGTGGTTTCAGACAAACGTATACTTCAATCAAACATTTAACTACACCCAGGCCCTTGAACTGTAAATACAGTCGGCTGCCTTACCTACAGGGGTTGCCTCATGTTGAGAGATTTCAAACGGTTGAAAGTGTGGGAATAGATGGCTATAGCTGTGAACATTTGAGCAAGAAAAAAGAACGAGACAAATTTACCTATTTACGCAAGGGTTGCTGTTTAGATGCCCCTGAGCAAGGCACATAATGCGAGTCTAATTGTTCCAGCTGTGGGGATTAGTGGTATTGCTTCAAACATCTACGTTTGAACCAATCTCCCACTGGTAAACGATCCCATTATAAAAGCGGAGCTCAAATCGCCATTGCTTTGAAAATTCAGCATTTGTTTAGCTTATTATTGGAACCAAAAGCTTTTTTTCTTTCTTTCTCAGAACTTGATGACTTTATCTGTATAAACTCTACAACTACACATTTATGCTTGTTACAAACAAGATGAAACATTATTGCTGCATCATTCCTAATCAGAAGAACCAGAAGTCATAGATCTGTGTGTGTTTTTACTTTTACCTGATGTGTTTTGAAGAATATGTGAAAATCTCTTAAGATAAAAGGACTTGGAGAGGAATTTCTGACTTTCCTGGGGGAGACTGCACATCCTTTTGTAAAATGTTGACCAGTTGACCTGATATTAAGCTGCTGAACCACATCAAGTAACACATCCTCTCTTGTTTGCCTGTTTACGGCATAAAAGTTTTTAAACGAGCGGTATCTATATTCAGTTTTACCAAATCAAAGAGGCAGAAAAAATAAAAATCTGTCTCATGGAAGGTTCCTTTATGATCATTATCTAACACCACATCAGAGTAAACTGAGCTGTTTTCTACTTAAACAGTTCTGTTGGACTTTAAATCAACTACACTACTTCCATTCTTACTGGTTTTATTATATTTCCCTTTTTGGCTCTGGTGCTCATCCTCCTCTGTTTCCATCTGTGTCTGTCTGATTTTATCGCATCTGTTCCCGCACCATGTTCCTGTTTAAGGGGAGTGCTAGATAGTTTTGTTAGTGAGCTGTCTTTGATGTGGTGCTGGCACTCAGAAGGAGCTGTGTAAAACAAGCTGACCGAGTGGATCTTTGTCTGAGAACATTCAGACACAGCGTTGTTCTCCTTTTGCGTTTTATTGGATTCTGGTCAGTCTAATGGTAGAATTATCTTTCCAAGTGTTGGCTGAACAAAGAAAAGCTCTTCGGTTTGGTTTATGAACATAGGTTTAAATTATGCATTATGATTCCCTCAGTCCACATCACAATAGGCCTGTCACAATAACAAATTTTGCTGGGCGATTAATTGTCTCAGAAATTATTGCGATAAACGATAATATTGTTTGAAATTTGACAATAATTAGTAATTGTTGTCAAATTTAAGGAGAAACTTTGGTTAATTTTTGTGTGTGGTACCTTTTTTGACCAATCGATGTCAATATAAGATGGTTTGAACTGAAGGATGGATAGTGAGCAAGCGAGCAGCATGACTCTTTAAGAAAAATAGAAGGGAGGCCCCTTGACGTGACATAGGCTGTCTCTCGTTCCTGTTTTTCGGTTCTGAAAAGGGCGGACGCTCTGTGTGGTTTGAGTTCTTTAGCATAGCATTTGTCACACAAAGCTTTTAATAAAACATCAGTAAACAAGTTCTTAGCTTCTTTATGCAGAGAAAAACTTTTTAAACGAAGGCACGGGTTTTAACTGTGAATTTTGGAGCTTCAACAAGACGGAGGTTTTTTCCCCGAGGTCGGCCTATTAGCTTAGCTCGTAGCTTAGCTTCTCAGCTTAGCTGCTTTTAACGATCCAAAAACGCAATTTTGGACGGTTAAAATGGATTTTAAAGAGAAAACAGAAAGGGGAGGGGTCAGTGAAGGGCACCGGAGTTGAGCTTTTTGTCGTCCAGTGTCTTCAGTAGAAAGAGAGAGACACGAAGAAACGATAAAGCAGATAAATGAAAACGAGGTCGAAATTTTTCATTTATCATGCGATTAATTGATTTGTTTATTACGACAGGCCTACATCACAATAATCAGAAAAAATATATTTTTGTTTCTTGTAGTCTGCCAAAGAGGGAAAAATATCACTGTAAAGCCACTTTGATTTGTGATATGTGCTGCTGATTATCCATGCTGTTGATCTCATGCTGCTGATTATTTCATGCTGCTCTATTCATTCGTACTCATCTACCCACACAGACTCATGTTTGTGCTGCTCCTGTTTGGCGTATTGTTTTGCACTATTAATGTTTAGCATATTCTTAGTTTATATCTTAGATCATATGTGTGTCAAACTCAAGGCCCGGGGGCCAAATGTGGCCCTTGTTGACATTTTATCTGGCTCTCAAGATGATATGTGAAATGTAAAATACTTCTATCTCTTGAATTTTTTTCATTAATCCTTGTTTATTATGTCAAAAGCACAACAGTGAACATAAAATGAGACCAATCAAACTTGTTGAGGAACTGTGACCAAGAAAAGATGTTGGATATCTGATTTGAGTTGATGTAATTTCTGAAATTGGCCCTTAGTTAGAAAAAGTTTTTAATTTTGGCCCCTTTTTGTAAGTGAGTTTGACACAC